AATATATATAGTATATAAGTTATGTAAATAATTAAAGTTACTTTGTAAATTACAATAAATCAAGTGACATTTTAAAGTCTATGATGTTCAGTTATCCATGTTTCATCCATCCATAACCAAGATAATTACTAACTTAAGAAGATTTTAATCGAGGTGACTTTGGCCTTTTATCATAGACTTTTCAGACTTGCACTGAGCGCACTAATATGTCTATCATTTCTTTTATGAGTGTGTTATCTGCATTTTTTCTTTTGATTTGATTAGTACACATCCTGTTTTTTTTTTAAATGGTATGGGTGTGTATTTAATGTTAATTAATAAGCCTGAAATGCAAAACATGCCCCACTTTAGGGCAATTCACCCTATGTGATATATTTTTAATATTTAAGATTTCTCCTAACAGATACTATAGTAAAATTACTTTACTAAAACTTAAATTAAAGGTTTTTAAAGAGACCCTATAAAGATTACAATCAATGAAGTAACAAAACTTAATATGCATTCAATATAAAGTATTTTTTACTTAAATATTAAATATATATATATTAAAAAGTTTCAATATTAATTTTTTTTATGAGGAAATAATGAACCAAAAAAAATAAGATAAAAATAAATATTAAAATGACAAACTTCTGCTGTACTAAAAAACAAATAATAATAATATAAAAAAAGAAAGTATGTTCTTTATAATTGTTATCAGTGTAAAACTACATTTAAAGATTGCTCAGTTGGACAATAAAAATACAACCAATAATTTAAATACAATCTTTAATATTATTAATTTTAATATTCAAAAGTATTTTAAATATATTTGTATTATTTTATTATTTTCTTTACAGACAAGTGTCTGGAAAAAAAGTACATGATGTTGTTTTTGTCATGCTGATATTTCACTGATTTCTGTCATATTCTTCATGTTTATATTGTGTCTAGGATCTGATGTTTCCATCTGTACATAATGTTCGATTGTGTTTAAGAATAAATGACGCACAAGATAGTGCTGGATAAATATATATTATATAGCAAATCCATATTTATATTTTATAAATCACTGAAAGCAACAAGAAAGGAAGGATTTCATGGTGCAAATCAACGTTTACAAAACGTCTTTATCGCATGATTATGTTAAAAACATCAAAACTAAACACACTAATCGCAGTGAGAATCCCTGAGAGCCTCCAGCAGTGCAGCTTCGACGAAATATGAAAGCATTTGCATCAGGATTAAAGAGAAATTATGTTTTAAATCTTTAAAATGTGCACAGCTGTCATCAATCTGGCCAATTCAATCAAGTATGAAAAATGATGGCGTAAAAACAAAACAATCAAATAATATAACTTCCTTGCACTTTTAGGTCAAGTATAACAGTTCAATTAAATCCAAACCCATCCAGAGAGAGTTTGTCTGTGTAATTGGTCAGCAGTATTTAACTCGCTCATCTAATCGTCAGTAACGTGTTTCTAATGGTAACCAGGTGTGTGCATTGGGGGCGGGGCTTGTACCGTAAGGTCTCAGTTGATTGGCTCGTAGCCCGACGAGTGCGACCTCCTCTTTCGGATCCAAACAAACACTCCACCCACGATAAACATACAGTAAATATTTTGAAACTATTTACATGTGTATATATATATATTTATATTATATATATAAATATATTTAAAATATAAACATAACATTTTTCTTGAATATATATATATATATATATATATATGCATGTGTGTGTATTTATATATACATAATAAATAAACACAGTACACACGCATATATAAACAAAAACTTTTGTTTTGGATGCGATTAATCGGGATTAATCGTTTGACAGCACTAATTTAAAATATTTCATATTTCTCCTAACAATTACTACAGTAAAAATACTTTACTAACATTTCACTAAAGATTTTAAATTAACATTTTTTCTATAAAAAAGACACCTTAAAAAATATATATAATAATATATAATATAATATAAACTCTATATATGTGTAAAAAATATTTGAATAATATTTTATTATTTTCCTAACAGTTTGGAAAATGTGACGCGGGGGAGGGGGGGGTGGAGTAAATGATGAACCAAAAAAAAAATAAAAAATACAGTCAAGATCGCTCAGTTGAACAATCAGACCCAATAAAAAATGACAATCAATGAAGTAACAAAATTGAATATTCACTTAATATATATAGTACTTTTAATATTTTCTAGTATTCAAAAATAATGTAAAAAAATGTGTAATATTTGATTCTTTTCCTCAGAAATCAAAGTGCGAAATAAACTATGTGCATGCAATGTCGTGGTCAGGTAAGTCAAGAAGTTACCAAAAATGTGATTAAAGCTGCCTTAAAACTGTGCATGCATGTAATATATTTATATGAGTCACATTTAAGAACATGTCTCTGAAATGGTTTTCCTGGAGCCCAGCACTGTCTCACTCATCTAACACCCGATTTAACTCGTCAGCTCATTAATAGAGACTTTAACCTGAAGTGGGTCAGAAAAGGTAAAAAAATATGAAATGTGTGTCAGATCCGCGTCACGTTCAGCAGCAGCAGCTCTTAACCCTTGTGCGACCTTTTGCACATTTTTGTCCTTTTCAGTTTTGTTTTTTTGATCATTTTGCCTGTGTTATTGCCAACTGCATACATTTTGGCACAGGTGTGTATTTTTATTGGAATTTTACTATTTCACTTCCATTTCCTTTAATAAATCTGTTTTGCACTAGGTACAAAAAATTGTTCCTCGTATGGATGTCAGAGTGTGGTTTGTATGTGTGTCATAAAAAAAAAAAATTGTGTGCGTGTGTGTTCTTGTAATATTTGAGAGAGAAAAACTACTGCAAATCACAAATCCAACAACTGTGTGCAGCAGCAGAGTTTTGCTGGCATCTAATGGGGAAAATAGGCATTTTATAGCGAAATCAGTATTGGTATCATTGATACTGACCTTCAGTCATAAAAAAAAGATGCCATTAAACAAATATAAAAAAATATACTGTCTTTATGTTGTTTGTACATTAATTTGAAGATTGAATGTGAAATTATTGCAATATAAAAGAGTATATACATTAATTTATTCCAGCAAAACAATTTGTTATGAGTTAAATCAGGTAGAAATAGCTCTTTAAGATTAACACGTTTTACAATGTGCATCCGTCCCTCATAGCCTCGCTTTATTGATTGTTCTCAGTTCAGTCTCTATTGCTCATCACACTCACCAGCTGATGTATTTGGTGTCACTGTAAAACACTGGGTCTTTATTGATGCCGAAGCTGATGTTCAGGCCGTACGTCTGAAGATCCTCTGTGAAATACGCCTGAACCAGACCGGACTGAGGGATGCGCTTCATGGACACGAGCTGGGAGTGTTTGCAAGGTGTGGCGTCCTCAAACACCGGCTCGGCTTTACGATACGCCACGGGCTTCCACTGATTATAACCCCACACACCGCTGCTGTTCACCGGAAACGACACCCACTGAGACACCTGACACAAGAGACGGGATTAAAACACTCACAGCAATCAACTCAACACAACTTACACCAGATTTCACATTGATGCATTTACGCTTTTATCCAAAGCAACATTTCGGTAAGACTTAAAGCCTTTATGCATAATGCAATATAAAGGTATTCATAAAGTACATTGTAATGCATTGTATCTTTTCCATAAAAAAACATAACCAAAGATTAAAAAAATCTAAAATTAAAATGCATTATGCTATTTGAAGGTTTGTTCGTCATGTGTAACTGTGGTTACAATTATTCCTGAGATCACTATAAGGTGCATTACAAAGCATAATTATTACTGCATTAAAACGACTTTTATAATGCATTATATAGAAAGGCTTTAAGTAAAGTGTTACCAGCATTTTAATTGTTTTTTTTAACCCCCCATTTTTGAACGTAGACGTGAAAGTGCACTATCTGAACTTAAATTGTTATAATTAATCAACGCTTTTGGACTCTTTTTAAAGAAGACAATCAGCAGATTATTGTAGACGTGGAATCATTTCAAAATATGAAAGTATCAAAAAGTTATAGAAGTTTAAATTTACTGTAAAGAAAATGCACTGTACATTTTTTTATATTTTATATAAAATAAAAAAAATTTCATAACAGGTTTTACTCGAAAATTGCTATAAAATGAAAGCCTTATGTCTAAATAAGTTATGTTCCAAATTTGAAGTTGATATTAAAAAAATTGAGGTTCCGGTGAGATTTTATTCAGGGCGTTATACCACAAACAGCCACCGGGTGACACCCAAACTCCATTGACATTCACAAAATATCACAAAATAACTACAAAATATGGAATCTTGAGACTCAGACCTTTCCAACGATATGTATTTTGTCAAGATTATAAAAAGTTTTGATTGTAAAATACCGTAATACATTTTGTAATTTGATACTTAACACCGCTAAATAATTTTAAAGTACCATTTCCATGACCACGCAATGTCCGATTTCAAAATGGCTTTCACAGGATGAATTTTGAGTTTTTAAGCTTTCAAATGATATCTGATTTAGGGTGATTACTAAAATATTTGATAGGGTAAAAAGGCAATAAAATATGTAATGGCTGCTGATTGGCCTGGTTTAAATCAGTGCTGGAGCCGAATAAATCTTCATAAATGCACATATGAATGTGTTTTAAGTACTTTATTGTAATATAAAACAAAAATACAAGTGGTTTTATTGTGTGTTCAATAACCTGTATGTTATTTTCAGTGTCTTGAATACTTGATACTGCTGATCGACACTGATAAACGTCATCTGTAGCTGCTCTGTTGTGTATTTGTTCTTTTTATTAACTAATGTTAATGAATCAATACTGTAGTAAAGGTATTGCTCATTGTTAGTTGATAAATTAACTAACCTTATAGGGCTGGGACAATAAATCGATGCATCACGATTCGTGGATCGATTCTGAGATTTTCGGAATGCATCATGATTCTCTCTCGAATCGATTCTGAGATTAGTTTTTAACAGCAGATGGCGCTCTAAGCTAGTTTTTAACCGCACACTCAAATTGTCACGAAGAAGAGCGCTTGCGCGTTCGGCTGAGTCATGTAAGTGTTTAAATGTACTTGCACATGGGCTTTTATGATGCGAGATTAATGTAAACACAGCCCACTGTGAACATCATTGTAATTCGCTTCAACCTTTTCGAACTTTATGAATGATTATTTTAGGTTCAAGTGGCACGTGTGTAAGGAACTGGAAGCAAGCAGAATACGGCTATTCCTAAAGCACGCAGTGCCATCTGCTGTTAAAAACTAAGCTCAGAATCGATTCAAGAGAGAATCGCGATGCCTTCGGAAAATCTAAGAATCGATGCAGAATAATTTCTCGATTCGCAATGCATCGATTTATTGTCCCAGCCCTAATGTCCAGGTTTGCTGTGGTTTTCACCTTGAAGATGGAGGGTGTGTACTCATCGTCTATGGAGCTGTGGACATCCACTCGTCCCTGGAATCCAGAGTCGCCTACGGACTGAAACTCCAGAGCGAATCTGGAGCGGTTTCCTCGCGGCGTCACGCCTTCCAGCCACACGCGCAGCTGCGAGGAGTTGGCGTTATGACGGAGACTCGGCCAGGCTTTATCACGACCCACTGACTCAAACGCTGAGAACTGAGGACAGAAGAGAAATCAGACACACGAGTCACTCTAAATCTACACAGAACATGTTATATGTTTGTCACTGTAGTTCTGCTGACCTGCAGACAGAGGGAGCCGTTGAGGAAACTCTCCGTTTTCTCTCTGCCGCACAGTGTTACTGTGTGACCTGTCTGGTTAACAGTGATCTTTGGGTCGGACCAGATGAAGTTCTGGAGCTCGTATGGAGGGTAAAAGCTGGATTCTGCGGTCTGCTGTGGGTCGGCGGTGTTATTAACATCATCATACTCCCACACCTGATAAAACAGACACAGCAGTGTTTTCATGTTTTCATTTCTTACCTTCATTTTTCTGCAGGGTTGCAAAAAGGTGGAAATATTCCAGAAATTTTGGAAACTTTCCAGGATTTTTGGAATATTCCAGGGATTTTTGGAAAGTTTCTGGAAATGTACCTTAAATTTTCCACCCCTTTGCAACCCTATCGGTCTGTCTGTAAAGGCATCAGTGTCCCAAAGACACAACGGCAAGATCAGATAAGAATAAACTATTTAGTGTGAATGTGAATTATAATAATAATAAATCTTATAGCCTAATTACTATGAATTATTATAAAACAGCACACTTATTAATTAAAAAAAAAGGATTAGGCTTGTAATAAACAATTTTAGTGTACTTAAGAACTCTAATGATATTAATAATAATAATAATAATAATTAAAAGTACTTTTATTAACAATAATACATTTTATTATTGTTGTTATTATTATTATTTGGAAAAATAATACATTTTATTATTATTATTTAGTATTACTACAAGTTATTATAAAACAGCACATTTATGAATCAAATAAAAAAAATTGGGCTTGTAATAAACTATTTAGTGTACTTCTGAACTCTTAAATAATCATTATTATTATTATTATTATTATTATTATTAATACATGTTATTATGATAACAATTTAGTGTACTTCTGAACACTAAAATAATCATCATTATTATTATTAATAATAATAAATGTTATTATGATAACAAATTAGTGTATTTGTGAACTCTAAAATAATAATAATTATTATTATTAATACATGTTATCATGATAAAAATTAAGTGTATTTGTGAACTCTAATGATTATTATTATTAAAAATGCCATTATTTTTATTTAGAATTACTACAAGTTATTATAAGACAGCACATTTATAAATCAAATAAAAAGATTAAGCTTGTAAAACAATTTAGTGTATTTGTGAACTCTAATTATTATTAATTATAATAATAATAATAATAATAATAATAATAACGGTTGTTATTATTTCATACTACTACAAGTTATTATAAAACAGCACATTTATAAATCAGATAAAAATAGTTTAGGCTTGTAATAAAACGTGTACTTCTGAACACTAATAATATTAATTATTATTATTATTTATTATAATAAATGTTACTCTTATTATTTAAGATTATAAAATAGCACTTTCATAAATCAAATAGAAAAGATTAGGCTTGTAATAAACAATTTAGTATACTTATATAAAAACATATATTGTATAACAAATTATTGTATTAATATTAACAATTCTAATTCTTATTATTAACAAATATTGTTATTATTACTACTAATACTAAAAGTTATTATAAGACAAAACATTATTTATTTATTTATTCATGTAATATGTGGGTGCATCAGAAATCGCATACTTCCCTACTATATAGTAAGCGAAAAAATATTATTAAAAATATATAATTCTGCGATATATATTGCGATATGAATTCAATATAGCTCTATTTGGGGGAAAAAAATCAATGATTGGGGTGATTTTGTAGGTGAGTAAATCAGCATAGGAAATAAACAAATTACAAGCATAGATAAATAACAGAACAAAGATACAAATGAAATAAGCAGTGCTTTATATTTTCACGTAAGTCTAACAGTATTCAGGTACAGAAATTGAATAATCAAATGTAAAATAACACTGCATAGTCTTCACTGTATAAATTAAATCTAACAAATCTGTGTTAAAGCTACAAAAGGAATTTTTTCTTTGTGTTTTGTTGTTTGATTACCGTTCATGACAGAGAAAGCTACAGGAACATTAAACTGCTGTGAACCAATATACTGTTACACATCCATTTTCTTTCTCAATTGTTTACCTTCACCTAA